AGGTAACACTCAAAATATAAAAAAAAAAAAAAAAAAAAAAAACGCCTTTTGGTCGTAATTTAAAATCTGAAACCTTTCGGATTTTCTTTTTTTTTTCCAAATTTTTGTTATCTTCCCTGAATTTCTTAACTTCGCCTCGCATTTCCTCGCCAAGATGTCAATTTAAAGTTAAGTGAAGGGAATATTTAAAGGGGTGAATCTGGGAGTTTATTCAGGGCGTGTTTTCGCTAGCCAGTGCTTGTTTCGTTTCTGACCTTGCTGTTACGCCTTTTGGCCATTTGGATAATTATCACGCCTGTTAGATAGTCGAATCAACCTAGTTAAGCCGTAACTTAAAGTACTAGTACAGCACAATTCTTTTCAGACTTGAATTGATTTGTGTTAACAACGTTTACGTTCCACCGCAAGTTGTCTGTGTTATTGTAAAGCAAGAAGTATGTGCATTTCTGTTCATAGTTGAAATTAATAAAATGTTAATTTCACCCTTCTTCTGTGCTGATATTATTTCACGCTTGTGCAATAAGTAGCCAGGTTCATTAGTAGGATCTAGATTAGTTTATGTGGCTAAAAAAGCGTTAGATCCTATAAATTTTAATCTTGAAATGAGGCATTAGAGGAAGATTAGCATCGCTGAATGATGCAAATGATGCATTAAAGAAATCATATGGAGTTCAAAACTTTGAAAATCTTCGAAATGTTTTCAAGGTGAAGAATTTTTGAATATTTTTTCATCCACATGAAACTGATAAAATAATCCTTTCATCCTTTTATATTTTTTTTAAATTTCCAGTATAATATCAATAATATCAAGTTACTTTAGTTTTCCGATAACGTTTGCTTTTATTAGTGCTGTTTTTAAAATAAATCTTAGGATAAACACAACGATAACCTTTAGTCAGCCACATGTGTGAAAATATTTTTGTTGTGAAAGCATATTATAGATTGATACCACAAACATTTAATAAAGAATGTTGCAATCAAATTTATTTTTAACTGCCGCTGTTTGTTGCAATCGTTACCTACAGAGTCCATGATACATTTGAGATGGAAATTATCATTTGGTGGTTGCAGAAGAAAAAGAAAGGCACGTGTATCCAAGTATTTCATAATTTTCATCACATATTTATGTATTGTATAATGCTTTTTGGTAAATAAGTAATTTTTGCGGTATCACATCAGGAGAAAGTTTAATACTTAAAGCTACCTAATATCATTCGTCGGTTATAAATTCAGTTCCCACAAAAAAAAAAAAAAAAAAAAGTTCTGAAAAGCTTTTAAATTACGCTCAAACGAAAGTTTTTTTTTAAACTTTTTGTGTGTTTTAACTTTTTTTATTTTTTAAAGTTTTGTGTATTCCATTTATTTATTAAATACCATGTTCTTTGCTCTTCATAAAATTCAGTTCAATAGCAATATAAAAAATATTTAAAAAATCATACTTTAGAATTTCCGATACACAGTTTCGAGCGCTGGAGATAAAAATGCTTTTTTTTTTTTCGTACAGTGTTGCCACTGCTCGTTTTGAAATCGTTGAGTTTGTTAATCAAACATTCGTTAAAATTTTACAAAATATGAAATACATAATAAAACAAATTCTAAATTCTAAATTTGGGCTTCCAGATGCTCATATTCTATATATGGATTATGCTATTCAAGTTTTGATGGCTCTAGGTACCATCGTTTTTTCACAGTGAGAGATGTCCTATTTGCTGATGAAAGCAAATTTAACATTTTGGGCTCGGATGATCGAATAACTGTATTCAGAAGAAAAAATGAGGAACTTCATTCTAAACTTAGTTGGAACAGTTAAGCATGGCGGTGGAGGTGTTGTGTGTGGGGGGGGGGCATGACAGCATCAGGACTAGGTAATTTGGTATTTATTGGTGGCATAATGAATCATTCTCTTTATTTAAATATTTTAAGAGACAATTTAAAATTATCAACCCAAAATTTGGGTATTGGAAACAACTTTATTTTTAATCATTATAACGATCCTAAATATACGGCTCTCAACGTTCGCCTGTAGTGTCTCTATAATTGTCCACAGGTTTTGAAAACACCACCTCAGTCGCCAGATTTTAACCTCATGGGGCACATTTGGAAAGAACTGGAGGTTAGAGTTACGAAAACACGACACCAAAACGAAAAGCGAGCTCAAAACAGCCATGATGGAAGAATGGATGAACATTGATACAGAAATTTAAAAAAAAAAAAAAAAAAAAAAAAAAGAAAAGAAAAGAAAAATTAGTAAAATCTATTCCCAGAGGTTTAAAAGCTGTTGTGGATGCTAAAGGATATCCTACAAATATTAATTTAATGAGAAATGAAAATATTATTTCAATGAAAATCATAAGTGTAAACACTTTTTGGAGCCACTGTATTAATATATATATATATATATATACATAATACAATATATATATATATATATATATATATATACATATATATAACATATATATATACTTAATAAGCTAGGTTGTAAGTACAAAAAGACAAATTTGGTCAAAAAATGTTTTGCGCAATATGCTGCAAAATTGAGGAAATGAGAAGAGAAATTGTAGTTAGCTCGCCGTAAAGCTACCAGGAGCTGTGCTCCAAGAAAAATTTAACACAGTTTTTTTTAAAGAACAATGACATTGAAGGGTGAAAATTTAGGCTACACGCGAAATAAAATGTAAAATATAAAACACAGTAAACTAATCGTTGGATACAAGTTAAAGGCAAAAAATACAGTAAAGTACCTATCGATGTGACAAGTTAAAACATATAAAAAAACCAATCGATGGAAACAATAAACAAATAAACAATAAAACATATAAAAATTAAAAAAATTATAAAGCGAAATGGTAAATTAGCTCAATTCGAGGTCCAACCGGGTTTTCAAGGGAAATTTCTATTAAACGTCGAACCAAGCTAACTCCATTTCGCGTTTCGCCGAAGCAGACAATTGAAACTTTTGCGTTACGAAATTTTTTAATTAATTAGATAAATTGTCCTAAAAATTTTTTTAGTCTCAATTCTCTTTCCAATTTCCCGACGCGTCCACACAAAATGACACATTAAAGTGTAAAAAATGTAAATGCAACTCCGATGTACAGCAATAATAAAAAGAAATAGCGGTCTGCTATTAGTCAAAATATACAATAACGTACGGGCTGGACCTGCAAGCTTAAAGAATTAAACCTTATAAATTTTAGAATTGGAGTGTTCGAAAATAAATTCATTTAAAATTAAATTGAAATATTTTAGAATTTTTGAGTCACATTTCGTTCAAACATACATGCAAATATTCGATTCAAACGTATGATATGGGAGGTACACTGCGAAACAAAAAAAAAGGACAGTTCTATATCTCCCGTTATACTGGGCCGATTGACGAAATTCAACTTGCGTGTTTATCTTGTCTTTGAAGATATATATATATTTTTACACAAAATCGGACGTTTTTCTGAAGTAACATGCCAATGTTTTTCCATATTCGATTTTAGAACCAAATACGCCAAAACTAACAAGTTTTGTAAAAATCGTACGAGTACTTTTAAAAAATTAGCCTCAAATTTTAGTTCTCATGTTAAATGAGTTTGTATATATTTATTATCTCTCTTTTTTTTTATTAAACTTATTGATTCTTCCTTCACTGTCGAAATTTAGGTTCAGTCCAAATTAATTTCACCCATTTTTTAAGATTTATTTTTAAAATTTGTAGTTTTAAATAATTTTTATAAATTTTTCAAAAAGCGTTTAGAATTATAATCTATGGAATTTTTACCATCATCTTAAAGTAGACGTATTTCTAAGCATACCAGCAAAAAATTACAGTTTTTTATTCCAAATTTTCGAAGATATACGTGAATATGTATATTGGTGCGTTTTAAAATTTGGCATACTTATTGAAAGCGATAAAACATGAAATGTGGTTTAGACACTTTGCTAAAATTATTTGGAAGTAGAAACGCCGTGACTTTTTTTCTCTCATGCGCAATGTAAAAAGGTAGAAACGAGGTCTCTTTTTTTTCCGCTCTGGCATAATGGAAAGGAAACCAAAATAGGTTGCCACGTATTAAGAGGTTCTCCAAGCGAATTATTCTTGGCGGAAACTGAAACAAATTATGCCAAGATAAATTTTTGAATTTCTCCTTAAATTTCACACCAAATTTTACAAAATTTAATATCCAGGCATAATTTGAGTCGTAGAATCGAAATATGGAAAAAAATTGGTTATTTCAGAAAAAGTCCGATTTTGTGTCAAAAAACTTATGTTAGAACAATGCTATATAAATGACATGAAAAACGCAATTTGAATTTTGTCAATCGGCCCAGTAGAACGGGAGTAGAACTGTCCCTTTTTTTTTTTTTGTTTTGTTTTTGGCGCAGTGTATATACTAAGAAAGAAAACTAATAATTTTAATTTAGCAATAGTCATTTTAATTCCTTATTTTAATTTGGCTACGTCCTCCTCCTCGAATTTAGTGAGGCACCATTTGGAAAACGAATCTGCTTATGTCGTCTTATTATTCCTGAAAACTGGTAAGCTTTTGTCCAATCATCGTTCAAAATTTAAAAAAAAAGGCATACCCCTTTCCTGAAATACACACACGCTTTAATCTCTCCTTTCGCTTTGCTTGCACGTGTCATTTTACTGTCCGCTTTATCTATTCTTTTTAAATGTAATCATTTATATAAAACTGAATGGTGCTTGTCGTACTCATAGTATATGTAAAAGAGAATATGTGTCCTCAGAATTAGTCATCAAGAAATGAAACTTTGTCTTGTTGTCTACGCTAAAGTTTGCAACATTTTTCTTCTCCGTTTTGTCATCTTATGTATGTACGCTAACATTAAATCCTTAAGTATCTATAAAATTACCACATGCATACACATACATATATATATACACAAAGGAAAAGATGAGATCCATCTAGTTCAGCATTTTATAAATCAACTTTAAAACGTCGAGAGATAAGATCATTTAGTTTTCCTTACATTATTTAAGTTACCTTTTTTAAATAATCATTTTGATGTTGGAAAGGAAGGAAATATAAATAAATGCAAGCAAAGTATTTTACTATCTTTCGTTTTCATTTTAAACTGGACAAATGCCGTCTCATTCTCTATCAGAGCACACACATTTCGCCGCCCAGACGGTTAGTGCAGGGTGGCCAGCCTTTTGGGGAAGAGTGCCACTATCTGAAAAAAAAAAAAGGCTATGCATGCCACTTCCAACTTTTCCAACATACTAAAAATATATATAAAAAAAAAGTGTTATATATAAGCTGATTCTGGAATTTTTACAAAAACAGATCAATTTTTATGAAAGTCTGAGTAGTGGACATTTAAAAAATAATATAATAAATTAAACGAACTTACAGACTATGGTTTTATTGCTAATAAATATTTTTAAAGGTTTATTTAGATAGATTAGATATAAAATAAAAATGAATATTTTGAAACGTTTAATTCTAAATAAATATTAAACCGTAAATACTTAATGTGTTTTATGAACATGTAGTTTTTTTACCAAGTCATCTATATTAGGATTAGTTTTTAAAGATGCCAACAAAATTAGATGTTTCAGGTGCATATTAGTTATCTTGAACGATATTTTGATTTTATTATGTTCATAATAGAAAACATTTGTTCACAAACATATGTCAAGCCAAAACTACAACAGTATCTGACAACCAAATCGTGTAAATTTGAAAAATTGCTTATTGGTACAAATTTAAAAAATCAATATAATTTGCAGTTGAAATAAGTTCTTTACATTTGCTTTTCAGTATAGTATGCTACTGTGGGTTAATAATTTCGATTTGGATTTCAGTTGGGTAGCAATTGACATCTTGCAGAGAAACTGAATTATTACATTTATTCTAATGTGTATATCTATTGACGGAGTTGATACAGACAATATTATTATTTTTTTCAGATGTTTTAATTTTTCAGTAAGTCTTCGCGTGTCACTGTTAAAACTTCGTAGTTACAAACTGTGGCACAAGTGCCGCGGGTTGGCCGTCCCTGCTATAGTGATCAGGGGGAGTCTACTGCGGTAGCGAAGGGCTCAGGTTCAAATCTCGGAGAAGGCATGAATGCTTTTAAATGTACAGTGTTTTTGCGACATGGGGGCACTCTATATATGTGGCGAGCCGAAAGTCCTCTAGTGTGGTTTGGTGGTGGAGGAGAGGGATGGAAGTCCCCTAGACAACCCCTCGGCGTGCTGTCCCTCAGAATTGAGGTGGGATGTATTATTTGCTTTATTAAGTCCAACCTCCTTGAGTCTCTGGCAGCCATTCTTCCATGAAAGTGCATGAACGAGACAGAAATAACAGCAACATACATTTCACGCCACTATAGTTTACCTAGTATTTTTTTTAACTTTAAATATGAGATGAAAAAATTGAATTTCTTGATTTTAATTATGTTTCAGCATTCCTATGCAATTAAGTAATTTCCGTCATTTAGATACACAATAATTTTTACTTTTTTTGAGTATGCTTATATGTGTATATATCTGCGAAAACATCCTGGAAAGTTTTAAGAGCAATTCATAGAATATCTCGCTAGCTTCAGTTTTTCGTTATTCAAAATATTTTTCTGTAATCTTCAGTTTCGGCTTGTCGAAGAGGGACTTCAATAAAACAAATAATACTGTAATAAAAATTCAGAATTAAGCTTTAAACATGACGTTATTGTTTCATTACCATAAATGACTTTTAATGAAGGCTGTGAAAAAATGCTTTATTGCATTGTAGAGTCATTAGATTATTTGAAGCGGAAGACATGAAAAGTGAGCACTGTCCTCGCCGAACTCCAACCTGGACCTCTCGAATACTCGCAAGCATGCTACCGTTACACTACGAAGGCATGCAGAAAAGGAGGGCAAAAATATCTTATATACTCCCCTTTTTAAGGACGACTGGAGGTTAGGTGACCCAATCGCCAAATCCGGGTGGTGAAGAATCATCATCCACCACCTTTTGGTTCGGGCACCACTGCAGAGTCATTAGGGTTTTCTTATGCTGGAGACGTAAAAAATTAGCATTCCCCTCGCCGGGATTTAAACCTGAACCTCTCGAATACGCGCCGAGTGCGCTACCGTTACACCACGAAGGCATTCAGGAGGGAGAAAGTACCTTATAGCATAATGTCAGCCCTCCTCTTCAAGTCTTCAAGAACCTAACTATACTACAAGAAACTGCAAGCGTACTTATACTACCTGCAGTTTATACTACAAGAAACTGCAAGTACGCTTGCAGTTTCTTACTCTAACTCTACTACTCTTACTATCAGGTTCAATGTTCCGTCTTACTTTCTTTGGGAACATGCAAGGACCTGACTCGGAACAGAGAGCTTACTAAAGCTATGTTCAATAACTGTGGGAAGTAGACAGGATACACAAGAAGGGTATACAAAACCCTTTATTTTCTCTCTTTACAATAATTTCCGTACTTCGGAATACAAAGACCACTACTTGTGGTCTAAAGTAAAGTAAGAATATAAAAATATAACTAAACGCTAACTTAACTTTGAAATAATAAACGTGGAAGATTGGCCTTTATTAACAGGAAGCCGTATGTAGTACAGAGAACTGTTAACACTACAATACGTTTTAAAATTATCAAGAGGATTAAAACTCTGGCCTGGAAGGCAACCAGCAACCGAGTAAAACTTCTAAGGTAAGCGGCCTGCTTCGACTAACTCCTTCCCCTCTCTCGCTTGGCAAAAAGCCACAACTTAAGTACTTGGCGTTCGCCAGACAAATTTTGCATAAATAAGTTAACGCTTTTAATTCTGGCCGGAAGTAGAAAATAAGAAGTGATAGTAAAGATTTAAAATAAAATAAACGTTAGTAAAACTTAAAATCCTTACATTACTACGTATTTTAACTCTTACTACGCTTGCAGTTTATACTACAAGAAACTGCAAGCGTAGTAAGAGTTAGAATATTTAGATATCTTACATCATGTACTCATTTATACAGCTACGAATACTTTGATTAAATATTCTTAAAGATTTTTGCAGACTTACAGTGATAAAAAGACGAAGAAATAAAAAAATTGCATTGATAATCCTTCAATTTTTGAAAATATTATATGCCTTCTCAGTATCAGTTTTTAAAAAATTATTAACCAACATTATTTTTAATACTTCAAAACTCATGTGAGCAGTACTAATCAGAATACTTACTCCTAATCAATTTTTATCAACGACGTATTGGATACTTCAAAAATGTTTATCTCCTGTCTTTTTCTCATTAATATTTATATTACCAAACTTATAAGGTTTAGACACTTCGTGTGTCCACAACAATGTGCAGAACTGAATGCTAATTATTCTTCACAAGATTTAGCTATAAAATAAAAACTACATCTTGAATTTTTTTAATTGTTTAATTTTCAAGTCTAGCAATCAATCCAATCTAGTCCAGTTTCTGTACTGTAAATGTTTTGGAGTTACATTAATTTAAAATTCTACTATTGTTACGATATGTACAAGGCATCACTCGAATGAAAGCCTTTATTTTTTAAATCTCTAATGAAAAATCTTATACCAGTCGAATAAAACACACTTTTTTAGTCTTGCTATACCTAATGTCATATACTTCTATTGCATAAGCTAAAGCACCAAAATATTAGTGCGCAACATATGCTAATACCACTTGTCGCAGTCATTCAGTGTGGGCTCTGGATTAGAAAAAAAAAAAAATATCATTCACAAAATGATGATCTGAGCGGGATCTCATTCACATAACTCAATACACTTACATCATCGGACAAGACAAACTACTTTCCACGTATTTGGATGACGTCATCCAATTACATATCTAATTTTAAATCTAATAAGTTCACTTTCTCTTCAATAATCTTCAGACTTATCGTAACTTGTGCATGTTCAATGTTTAATCGTAATTCAGACTTATCACTTTCAAATAGATAATTTACGCATTTTGATTTGCATTCATTAGTTCTTGTGATTCGGTTCATTGCAATAAAAAGGCTTTTTCGTGTCTTCTACGACGAGGAACAGACGCGCTCTTTCGGGAGTTTATAGCACGTCTCACCCAACTACAGCTCTTGCTTGTTTTCATAAAACTGATATTTTCATTGTACAACATTATCATATTATCGTAATTTTAATAATCTCATGGAAAGTTTTAGTGGATTTATTATTTATGAGGAGAACTTAGTAAATTAGCCAGCAGCAATGTCACTTAATTAAAACTTACGAGCCGCAGCTATTTAATTTAACCGTGATAATATTTTAGTTATTCAAAGTCGGAATTAACTGCCTGTAAAAAGTTAAGGAAAAACTCACATTACTTACATTTACTATAATACACCTGTTTTTTTTTCACCCTGATTAGAAGACTCACTTGCTATTGTGCTTCAAACCTTTATGTCTAACCAATGGGGAGTTATCTACGAGTACCTAGCCAACAATTACCCAAAGACATGGTCGCAGGCAAACCAATCGGTTATTTATTTGTATGTATCAGCAGGATTACAATAATAGTTTTCAGATGTAATTCCGCGTACATTACGTAGAACTGGAACTTACAGACACTGGAATTTTACAGATCTTGAAAACGGAGTTTTACAGATACTTACAATGATGTTTTAACAGTTGTAGTTCCAAAAGACAAAATTTGGAGCTGCGATTTTAAAAATGAATTTTGAATAGAATTCAGAATTGTGTTATTAGGTGTTACAGTTTTTAAATTTTTACCGTTATTACAGAATTGGCGTTTACAGTTTTTAAATGTTTGTGGCCTTTTCAGACTTGACAAGTGATACATTTCATCAGAGTTATCATTTATGTATTTAAATACTTGTATGGCTCTATTTTGAGCTCCATGATTTTCCAGGAGCATTCGTATCATTTTGACCTGTGTATAGCTGTGTAGACATCTGCATCACTGACTGGACGGCTCACATGCTGTTCTGTTTCGAGCCATTATATCCAGCTAGTCAGAAGTTATCTACTACCTAGCCAATCACTATCCAAAGGCAGAGTCGGCAGGTAGAATAGTTGGGCATTTATTTCTGTGTATTGGCAGAAATATAATAATAATTTGTAGATAAAGTATAGGAATTTCCTATTGTGGCCGTTTGGCATTTGTATCTCCTCCCACGATAATATTAGGTCCTTAAGACATTTTTACTCAATAAGCTCCTATAAAAGCTTCCGTA